AGAACCTGTTGTTAAAATATTTGAATCCCACCACTGGTTTTATGTCTGTAACCTATGACTTCTTAAAGCTAAGGTAAAAGAAATTATATCACACTATGACAACCAAGGTTGAGAAACAGTGATTGGCTAAATATTGATAAAAATACACTTTTGTTCAAGTTACAAGAGCAAATATGCCTACCAATATTTTGACGTTTCTCCTACAGGGCTACAAGTGCTCAGAAAATATTCATTAAGTTCATAAACATTGCTGATTTCATTAATAACGAAATTGTAAACATGTTTTTATGTACAAAATTAAGTAACTAAAACTTTTTTTTATTAAATATATTTCAGATCTACAGTATTTTTTTAATGTATGGAAAAACGACTAAAAGTTCATTTTCTCTAACTTTTTTAACTGAATGACACAATTTTGCCATAAATGTATACTGCACCCAAGCATCAAAGAGTTAAAGAAAAGAACTAACAAAGGACCAACTACAGAACCCAGAGGTACACCATTAATCCACTATGCTTTTGCTCCATTTATAACAATCTATCTTCCATCATCCAGAGATCTCTTAATCCATTTGTAGCTTGTCTTCTGCTCCAAAAGATACATTCTTTATGGCTCTTTATCAAAAGCTTTCTTACTGTCCAAGTACAGCAGATCCACTGCATTACCCATGTAAAAGAAAGTAAACTCATAAGGTTGACCTTCACTTTCTAAATACCCGTTATCTGTGATAGAATGAAACTTATCTAAATGCTCTTGTAGAATTTCTTTACTACAGACTAATAATCTACAATAATTAGAGTATGGATAAGTGACCAGTAAACACCTGGATCTCTCCTAGAATTAAAAATTTGTGTAACATTGGCTAATCCCTGATATGCCAACACCTTATCACTTTTAATGAATTTATTAAAATTTAAGATTAACAGCTTATAAGTCTGCTTTTTTTGTTTCTTTCATTATCTGTCTTATGTGCCTTATTATATATTAACTTAACATCTGAAAATTTTACATAGAAGGATGGAGTCTAGAATCTGTTAATTTTCACATTCAAGAACATGTTATGTGTGTTCAATATAAAAACCAGGTCTAAGTAGACTACATTGTAGCCATAAAAAATAAAATAAAATTATCACTGAAAAAAACCTATTGTAAAAAGGAACTTCCTGAAAAAATACAGTGGAAACTCATCAGAGCAGGCTTTTAGCCAACAACTCATCCACACATTATTTGGATGGGCAGTTGGCTATCAAGATGGACAAAACCTTAAACAAACAGACCACAAGGCAGACAAAAGATAAAATTTGCCTTACCCCTCAAAAGCAGTAAATCACAGCAAAATTCCATTAGTCATCTGTCTTAAATACCATAAGCAAAATCCTTGCACTTGTGAACTGTAACTGAGCTAACCATCGAGTTTTTCACTTAAGTTTTGTTCAAATAAGAATTCATTTAGCATTTTAGAACGAAAAAATAATTCAGGCTTAGGATGTTCCAAAAATAATATAATGTAACTATCTTTACATCTAAGGTACCAACAGGTAAAAAAAAAATTCTGAATTGCTAAAGCCAACTGCGCAAGTATGCCCATCAAAATAAATAGCCATAAAAAGTATTTCACAGAGGAGAGAATGCTCTTTCCATTGGTTATAAACATGTTCATTAATTAAGTGCACATGGTTTAGATAACTGTCTATGCTGGTAGGAGGTTCAATTTTTTCTTATAGCTTGTGTTTTTAATTTGTTGGAAATTGAAAGTCATATTAGGGATGATATAAAATATATAAGGGAGAAGTTATAGCACAGACAGTTAATGTGACACAGAGAAAGGAAGAACTAGAATTTATTTTAATATTATTTTCTGAAATTAAAAATTGTATAATATTAAACTTCGATTTATAAACTATGTTTTGATGGAAAATCTATTGACTGTATTCACAATAAAATTGTCTGACTGAATTTTAAATGTAACTGTAAAATGTTGTGACATGCACATTTTGACCCTCACCCTTTCACACATGGTTAATAAAATATTTAATTCCTTTTGTTGCTTCCTCAAGCATTGTTTACAAGCATCAATGCTAATAAGCAATTTGACTGTAGGTATCAATCATGGTATTAAACAATATTGCAACTATAATTGAGTAAAATAGTAATTTCGAGATTGGACAATCAGCGCAAACCATTCTGACTGGCAATGTCTCTAGGTCAGCAGAAACTAAAAATAAACTTTCAGGGAAAGATGATACATGGCACATGAGGCTAAGGTCACAAAGAAGTGTTGTGAAAGGGCATGTAATGCAACTGTAATATACCAGTTAGGTAACTGGAATGGTCATTTAGGACAAATGACCCAAAGCAACTTGAGGAATCCAGAGAGTACAGGAAGCTCAAAGAATTTTTGTCTCAAATATCGAACAGTATAAATAAGGCTGCGTTAGAAAGAGCGATTGTGGAAGATGCAAAGTCCTTGGCCAAGATCCAGGTGAAAAAACGAATTATGGTTGACACTTCTGATCAAAGTGGGTTCAACTTTCTCTCAATACACCATTGCCAGTAGGTGTGTCATTTCTATTGATAAATGTCCATTGCTGGACTAAGCAAAGATTGAAACAGATACATGGCAATCTTAGAAATTAAA